ATTTGCTCTGTAATAAGATTTGTAGAGTGACTATTAATGGATGTAATAGCTCATTTTATTTGCGGTTTTTAGAGAGATTGAATAATTGTAGGTTTAAAGTGTTGATATACGGGTTTTATCAACTCTTAAATGTTGGTATGATGAACTTTGAAGAAGGATAGCGGAGGATGAACTTTGCAGGTTCATATGAGAGTTGAAAATTTATGGACTTTTTTCATTTTAGACTTTGAAAATGTAGAAATCTGAGGTTTGGAAAAATGTGGATTTAAAATTTGATTTATTTGAAAATTGCAGTTTTACAAATTTGAAAATTTGGCATTTGGAAAATATAAAAATTTGAAACAATTAAAAAATGAAGATTTGAATGTTGACTTTTGAAGATTAGAAATTTAAGAATTTAGTAATTTGGAATTTAGGAATTGGGAAACTTGAACATTTATAAATCTGGACATTTACAATTTTGAATTCGAAAATCCAGAAATTGAAAAATTTGCAAATTAGAAAATTTGAAAATTCGAAATTTAAATGAATAAAACTAGAAATTTAGAAATTAATTTGGATATTCAAAAGCGTGGAAAATCTAAGCTAAATGGGAAGTAAATAGAAAAGAAATAGAAAAGAAATAAGAAACAAATAAAAAACAAATAAAAAATAAAAGCAAAATAAGTACAAAATCAGTAGACAATAAAAAATAAAAACAAAACTAGTACAAAATGAATACAAAATGCGATAAAAATATTTTTATCTAATTCTTTAAACCATAAGTTTGAAAATTTAACACAAAAGAGAATGGAAATATTACACCTAAGCATTCTACAAGAACGAATAAATGGTTTTGGTTGTGTTGTAAGAAAATATTTTAAAAAATATCAAATTATTCAATCAGCAATGAATACGAACAATTCACCGTTACACGATTTTCTATGGCTCCATTCACAAGATTACAATTTATAAGCGCGAAATAAACCTATGTCGACCTATTTGGTTCGTGAAGAAATTTATTACTCGCTTGACCCAACCGATCGAGACGTCGATGTGGATTGATTCTACTTGACAACTTGTTTGCACTCTCTTCTCCTTTCCTCTTATATTCTGTTGCTTTATTTTCTCCTCTATTTTCTCTATCTTGCATTTTTACGACTACTTGCAAATAAGAACTAAAAACCACCTAAATTTATTGGAAATAAAATACAAATCTTGTTCTGATATAAAAATCATTTATTTTTAAGAAAATATAAATGTAAAGTTTAATATTCTTTTCTGACTGTGCGAAAGTAGTTTTTTATTTTTGTACAAAGTTCAGTGTGAATATTTTCATATTGCAAATATTATAATTCTTCAATTTAATGTTCATGTTTTTTTAACCAGGAAACAAAAAACAAAACAAAAAACAAAGAAAATACAAAATAACAATGTGATTCATTCACACTTATTGTTAGTCGTTATTTAAACGCGTTAAAATTGATTTTCCTTAACGCTAAAACTACGAAAACAAACTGCTGTTTTAAAAATTCATTATTTTACGTTTTAAAATTTGTTATGGTTCTCTTAAAATATGCATTGATTTTCATCAAGATAAACAACAAATCTGTATATTAATGTATTTTAGTTTTTGATAGATTAGTGTTGAAGGTAAAGTTAGGTAACGTATCTTGACGCTACGTCAAGATGGCGCTAAAGTAGAAAATGGCGGGCTACTGAAAGCTACATCCAAGTTTAACAGTGATGTAACGTACGAGAAAAATGATCAGTTTATAATTATATTAACAAAACTATAGAAACTGATGGAGAGTGTCCATACAGATATCGATGATTCCGAAGAAGATTCTTATTTTTATTTCTATTTCTATGAAATAGGCGTGTAGGGTAGGTAGAGTAGAGACACTAACACTAATTTCTGTAAAATTCAGAAGTTAAGTTAGAACATACAATGTGTATAATAAAACATATCTACATATCTATACATTGTACCGATGTTAGTTAGTAGGTACCATAGACTATAAGCATAGTCACTAAAAGTTTTAGTAACTAATTTTCCGTCCAGAAAAATAAACCTTAACAAAATTTTTCCTAATTTTCACCTCCAGAAAAATAAACCTTAACAAAATTTTATTTTCAAAAATTTGAAAGCGTCATTAAAATCCTACTAAAAGTAATTTCTACCACAGATCAAACTCACTACAAATCTCCATCCCTTTATAAACCTACAAAGTTTCATAGGAATCGGCGAATAAGGGTTTGCGGTATTGCGCATCGCCATAAATCATAGGTGTATACCTCATGATCGAGCGAATCGACGATGAAGAGTTTCAAGTTATAAGTTGACCATCGATTCGCCATGTAATAATACGGCTTTGTACCTTCCGGCCCCCTCCGTCCTCCCTATATTAAGCATTCCAGAGCAACGATGCAATAACGCTGGACTATCGGTGCATAGAAACGAAAACAAGACGGTACGGCGAATTTAAAATATTTTCCAGAGGATATTGCTCTGGCCACGGTTATGTACCCATACATAGCGAGCTGGATAATGTAATTTCAGAAGAACCTTCGGTTTTGGTATTCCTTCCTGAAGACTCTCGTTAAATCCTCTTTGACCTTTTACGAGAATAAGGTATCTCGGTGGATTATTGCATTCCTCTTATCAACGGTATGAAATTAATTGCAAAATATCTTAAGCGAATCGGAATAATTTATTCTTTTCCATGAATGTACTATAAATAATTTTATTATAGCGGAAACATGTGGGAGAAAGATTTTTTTTTAGTAACGATAATTTTGTGATAGGAATCATTCTTTTTAGATGATTTTGTGCGATCATTATTTTCCTTAAGTATTTTATCTGATTAGCGTATTGGCTTTAGTAAAGACTATAATAAATAGCTTTTACTACTTGATAAAATTATAAAGAATTGTGTAAAATGTTAAAAATTTAGAGAAATGCTACGACTGATTATATGTTAAATATTATGATAAATAAAAGATACTTTTGAAATATATACATAATATATTTTATTATTTATTACTATTTCTGTATTTTATTATATATTACTATTTCTATATTTTATTATGTATTACTATATTCATATTTTATTATTTTTTATATATACTGTGCTTATTTATTGCATTTAACTCTGTGTTAAAATACTTGAAACTCTATAACAATTTCTAAAAAACTAAAGTAAATGATGCCATTATTGGACATGTACAAATGTGATTTTTTAGAAAGTATCATTTTTTATCAACATCCACAGATCTTTTTAATAAAATAAGGATCATTCAATGTAGGCCCTTCTAACTTTTTAAGTAAGTCAATTTTTTAAGGTGTAATTCAATATTTATCAAGAGATTATTAACAAATAAATATAGTAAATCAATCACAAATTTTATAGAAGCATCTCTACTTGAAATTATCTTTGTTAAAAATTTGAAGATTACTTTGAACTTTATTTAAAAGTCACTGTAATCACTAAATAAATTAATCGTCAAATTTAAATTTAATAAAACGTAATTTAAATTTAAAAGTAAAATAATCACAAAAGTAAAACAGTAAACTACATGTAAACTACATCCGACTGAAACACCATAAATCGTAAGCAAAGTTAGGTTATGTCACAAGTCATGTACCCGTCAAAATAATTTCTCAGAGTATCTACTAAATAAAATTTCTGAAGCCTCGCTTCAACAGAAATAAAAAACGATCAGCATGAAATCAACTGTAACTCAGGTCGGATTTGACCCGGACCGTTGGAGGTTTAATTATTACAAGACTCACCGTTGAAGATGATGCAAAGAATAACGTTGTGAGTGAGGTTCCCCGTTAGAGTGCAGAGGGTTAACATCTACAACTCTATCGAACGTTAAAGACGTTTCGATAAATCATCCCTATTTGTGTTTCAATCGATCATTAATTAAACTTGCAGCTCATTCAACATCCGCCTTCCTGTTCACTGATTAACTCGATCCCCCAATCTGCCAGGTGCGTGAGGCAGATGTCCTCGTGCTCGAACGAGTTCAAGTAATTAAATTGAGTGAAAATCTTGTTAATTATTATATTTATTTAATGAGGCTGAATATAAGGTTTAAACTGTTTGAAATATAATAGCAATATAATATATTTATGTGAATCTAAGCATTGGGGATGTAGGGATTTCAAGATTTAGAAATTTGGAAATTTAGCTATTTGGAAGTTTAGGGATTTGGGGATATAGGAATTTAGGAATGTGGGAACTTGGAGATACAGGGATTTGGGGATGTAGGAATGTAGGGGTTTAGGAATTTGGGAATGTAGAGTTTTGGGGATGTAGGGATTTGAAGATTTAAAAATTTGGTGATGTAGGGACTTCAGGGTTTAGGAATTTAGGAACCTGGAAATTTGGAAATTCAGTTATTTGGGGATGCAGGAATTTCAGGAATTGGAAATTTGGAAACCTGGAAATTTAGAAATTTTGCTATTTTGAGATGTAGGAGTTTGAGTATGTAGGGATTTGGAGATGTAGGGATATGGTGATGTAGGGATTTCGGGATTTAGGAATTTGGTGATTTAGGGATTTGGGAATTTAGGGATTTGATAATGTAGGAATTTGGGGATTTAGGGATTTGGTAATGTAGGGATTTGATGATGTTGGGATTGGGATATGTAGATATGTGGGAATGTAGGGATTTGTATATGTAGATATATGGAGATGTAGGAATTTGAATATGTGAAGATTTGGAAATTTTAAGTAGAAAATGATTTCTTTCTTTTCTTGCCTCTTTTTTTCAACAACAGACCTAATGACTCTCCAATGACTACCCATGACAAATCCACCAGCACCAGTTACTGCCATAATGTAAAATAATGCTCCCTTAAACTTAATGATACTAGTACAACTTTCTTCTACATACAATAGACAATGTTTCTCGTCATAACAATCATCATCAAATTTTCCTAACATCAATCCCCTAATAATCCACCAATCCCACATTACAAGTATTAATAAACCCGATTCTTGTTGCAGACATGAAGCCATCGGACAGGAGCGAGAAGGCAATGCTGACCGGAAACGCACAACCTTCGGACGTGTTCTGTTCGGTTCCAGGACGATTATCGTTACTAAGCAGCACCAGCAAGTACAAAGTTACAGTAGCCGAGGTACAAAGACGACTATCGCCACCGGAATGCTTAAACGCGAGTCTCCTTGGTGGAGTCTTACGAAGGTAAGATTATTGCCTTGAGAAACTTGGAACTGTCTGATGTGCGTAGCCCGTACACCAACTTCGTTTGCATAATACAATTTTATAAGGGGATTAGCTGCATTATAGTGAGGTAATCAGACGATGCTGTTTGATGCCACTGCTTTGCAAGGAGACATTTCATTCTGTGGAATTACTGGATTTTCATGGGGAAATTGTGTTTGATATATGTTTCTGTATTTATGTGGAGTATTCATTTCATGTGGATTCGTTTTACGCGGATGAAAATCGCATAAATAAAGTCTATTAATATGTAAAAAATTGCAAAATTTATATTTCACTATTAAATGTCAAATCTAACCTAAACTTAATATTTCAATATTAAGCTAACAAATTTCCAAATAGTCAAATTATGAAGTTATCAAATTGTGACATTGCCAAATTTACAAATTGTTAAATTGTAAAATGATTAAATTTTCAAATTATCAAACCTAACCTAGCTCAAACCTAATATTCCAATATTAAATGTCTAATTTAACCTAAACTCAATATTTTAATATTAAGGCAACAAATTTCCATATTTCCAAATTTCCAAATTATCAAATTGTGAAATTGTCAAATTCTCAAATGATCAAATTTACAAATTTTCAAATTATCAAACCCAACCTAACCTACACTTAATATTTCAATATTAAGTTTATCAGTTTGAAAATACCTTAAAAATGAAAATTATAATTAACTTCCTAAAAATGCAAACTTAAAAATTGATAGAAAATTAAAAAAAAAATTAATAATTCACAAAATGCAAAATTTGAAAAATTTATAAACTGAATTGCCTAACTAACCTCTATATAACCTCTATACAAAAGCTTATAACAACTAAAAAAATTCCGACCAGCTCCGTTACAAATAAAATTAATTACAAGGTATGCAAGTAAAAGTAAAAGTTCTAAAGAAGTAGGTTCTCGAATAAGAAAGTTGTATATTGAAAACGGTTTGAATGATTTAATGTTAAAGAAAGACACGCAGAGAAAAGTAGAATAAAAACGATTGCAAGAGTATATATCACTCGATGAATAAAGGACTGATCAGGCAAGTTGTTAACTTTATTCAAGAAAGATGTCAAAGATGAAATACCACTATATCAGAATGTCGAATTTTTCTGTAGTCAGGTATTCTTTATTTATGTTGATGAACAATATTGATTACTTGGAAGTAGTTACGAACGCGCTATCTTTCATTCATAAAATGAATCCTTCGTTTCAACGATGTAATCTATCTTCAGCACCAAAGATTAATGTTCGTGTTTCTGAAATCGCATGGCGGTTTTGTAAATAGTTTGCGAGATATTTAAATGACGGGAAAACGGCTATATCTTCGATGTTACCTAAAGCCATTATCTGAAATTGTTTCTTTAATCTAACGCATTTTATTGCATAGTGAAAAGAGGAGTAACATAAATTAAAAGAACGTGGAAGACTAAATAAGTTATGTTCTTCGACTGTCTATATGCATTTCTATTAATTTTGTTATTACATATTGTGTGGTTTTTGAAAGACAATCATTTTTACAAAAACATAAGTAAAAACAGAGATTATATTATACTATTATATTATTATTACTAAATGGCGCGTTTTGAAAACAAAAATTATGACAAAAATTAGTGAATTATGATAAATATTATTATATTAATTATGACAGAAATTGATAAGTTCAAAGTTTTAAATTCGTTAAAAAATAGTGGAAATATTTCATTAATGTTTTATTGCAACAAAGAATTTAATATTTATTTTCTCATTTATATATTAATAAACAAAGAATTACTCCATTAAAAATACTTAAATGTTCTACATGACAAAATATTTCAGGATGAATATTTTAATATTTCTTATATGTACATATATCAGTAATGAAATTTAGTAATTTGGAATTTTGGAATTGTGGATTGTGGAATTGTGGAATTATGGAATTTTGGGACTGTGGAATTGTGGATTGTGGAACTGTGGATTGTGGAATTGTCGAATTCTGGAGTTGTAGAATTTTGGAATTGCGGAATTGCGGAATCGTGGAATTTTGAAATTGTGGATTGAGGAATTGTGGAATTGTGGAATTGTGGAATTGTGGAATTGTGGAATTGCGGAATTGCGGAAATGTGGAATTGTGGAATTGTGGATTGTGGAATTGTGTAATTGTGGAATTGAGGAATTGGGGAATTGGGGAATTGAGGAATTGAGGAATTGAGGAATTTTGAAACTATGGAGTTGTGAAATTGTGGAACTGTGGAACTTTGAAATTTTCAGTTATGAATTTTTGAATTTTGAATGTTGAGAGAATGCAAATTTGAAAATTTGGGTTGGTGAAAATTTTGGGATTTGCAGATTTGAAAGTATGTGAAATTATAATTCAAATAAAAAAAAACGAAGAAGAAAGAGTATAGGTATAATAAAATACTGGCAATACACGATTGATCCTGCGAATTCGAAAGTACTACCAATATCTATAAATCATTCGCGTTTTCCCTATCAAGTTCAAAGAACAGCGGCGAAATCTTTCCAAGTGAACGTAGGACCCGTATTCTTTTCAATCAAAGTTCCATTCGGTTGGACCACCATTCGCGTTCATCCGTTGAATAAAGTATATTAACGGTACCCCATGATAGTGACTGATAGCTCGTCCGAAAAGCGAACACGTAGAAGCGGGTAAGAAACACGAGATACCGTGTCGTTGTAAATAAAGCGTACGCTTCCGGACACTTGTCCATGGTGGAGAAACATTCGAGCTCGGTTTGTATCTCGGAACAATGCCTCAAAGCAAAGGATTGCTTGGAACTGAGATACCGATACGTTTCACCGTTACGCGACTTTATCTAGCCGGTTAATTAATAAACGTGCGTTCACTTCATTCGGCTAACCTCATATACCCGCTCACGGACAGCCAACTGATTTATGGCTTTCTCTCTTGGAAGCGGGAAGCGCTCTTCTTTATCTGATTCACCATTTTACTCAGCCAGAACACTATCCGTTGCGCAATGCTTTATCACCAAAGGCATGGATAAATCACCAGCATGGATACGGCCGGATGTATCTCACGCATGTAGAACTACGCGACTGATATACTAGTGCTCATTTTTTTTTACTAAATATTTATTTCTCGATACGGATGAGGTACTAGGTGTTGCCGTTGCTGTGATTAGGAGTTTTGTGTGGGTAGGTGTGAAGGTGATGTTAGGGAAAATGGTGATGTAGAGAGAGAAGACAGATGTGCAGTTTAATGAGTGCAAAGTGTGTTGTAAGGGTAAAAATTTGTTAGAATCTTGATAGTTCTAGTTTGTGACATTTTTGAGTTCTTAAATTCAGAGATTTTTCAAATTTCGAATTTACAAACTGTTAAATTGGTAAATTGTCAAATTGGGAAATCGTGAAATTGTCACATTAGCAAATTGTCAAGTTGTCAAGTTGTGAAATTTTCAAATTGTCAAATTGTCAAATTGTTAAATTCCCAAATTGTCAAATTTTCAAATTGCTAAATTTCCTAATTGTTAAATTTCCAAATTGTCAAATTTCACAATAGTCAAATTTTCAAATAGTCAAATTTCCCAATAGTTAAATTTCCAAATTATCAAATTATCAAATTATGAAATTGTGAATTTGACAAATTGTCAAATTATGAAATTAGCAAATTGGCCAATTGGCCAAATGGCCAATTGTCAAATTATCAAATTAGCAAATTGTCAAATTGTCAAATTGTCAAATTGTCAAATTGTCAAATTCTCAAATTGTTGAATTGTCGAATTGTTAAATTGTCAAATTGCCGAATTGCGAAATTGTGAAATTATCTACTTGTAAAATTTTCTAATTTATTTCTGAATTTCCAACTTTCCAGAATTCCTTTTCCAAATTTTCAAATTTCTCCTTCCAACTTTCAAAATCCCAAACTTCTAAAATGTGACAGTGAAAAATCCTTAGATTTTAAAGTTATCTAAATTTTCAAGTGACAAATCCTAAAGTATACAAATTCCCAGATTTGTAAATTCTCAAATTATCAATCTCTATAAATTGAAGTTGAATATAATACATGATAGCTGCTAGATATAATGCTTAACAACTGTTAAGTATATTGCTTAATAACTGTTAAGTATAATGCTTAATAATTATTAGATGTGTATTAGATATCTAATTGTTATATAAATAATTGTTATACATAACATATATAAATTTGTTAGACAAATAATTGTTAGATAACTAGTAATAACTAGTGTTATAATGTACAACATGTCTTTCATCCCTTACACCACTATCCCTAGCAAAGCTTATCATCCTCCAAACCAATTACTTTACTTACAATAACCTAATCTTAACCTAACCTTAAAAATCCTAAATTCCTCTTAATTTAATCATACTTCAGAAATTTGATTGTTTGTTAATAATCCTAAGTCATATTTGTTATATTATGTTTATAATAATAATCATGTTTGTTATTAATTATTAATAATTAAAATTTGTCATTAATATATCTAAGTTACCTAAGTTATATAAGGTATGTAAGTTAATACAACTTGAAAAATTAAATAAAAAAAAGAACTACTAAAAAGTATACAACATAATAAATCCAGCTACTCTAAAAATAACGTACAGTATTTAATTTAATATATAACATTAATCCACGTGTAACATAATTATTTAGATTAGGTTTCATTTATATTTCAGTCAAGAGCTCTAGTTCAATATAAACATAAAACCTCATCATAAACGATTAATGCTAAAACTATCAGAATATTTAATACGTTCGATAAACAGTTAATTAGTTACAGTTAACTGAGTTCATCGAAAAAAAGTATTTAATAATTTGCATTATCTAGTAATATTTATTTACTCTTACCGTGTATTCAGCTACCGACGAACGGTATAATATTGGCGTATGATGTGCTCATGCGTTTCAGCCTTTTTCCTTGGCTAATCGCGAGTTTAAGAAGCAACAGCTGTAATAAGCCATAATCGTGCGCTGTTTATCTTTGTCGTATCTGA